CTACCTACTATGTACATAGTAGTGTATATACCTAGCTAACTTTAGGTATAGTTAAACTTCCTAAAGGCGAAGCTAAGCCTAGTATTGAAACCGCCCCCGTAGTAAGCTGGTTGAGGCCACTAGGATTGATGTTAAGGCGGCCGGCATTAGCTGCAATCGTCATTGAGTACATAGTACCTAGTGTACGGACTGTGTATGAGATGATACAACGACGTATAAATACAAGTATAAACATATGGATATATTTCTCTTTTTACCTTCTTCATCTCGAAATCCCTTTATGAATATGGCTGATTGATCCTAGCTGACGGTGGTTGGTTGACCTTTCTTTTACCTTGTTGGGACCTGATGCCTATCAATTGCTTAGTAGACACCGCCTAATGTCACCTTCGAATACCTAGCCGAGGCGCTGTGCTTCGGGGTACCTACCACTACCGGGTACTACTACGGGCACTGGGGTTGAGATGACACATGCGCGGACTTACTGTTGCCTCTCGCCGCTTATCAAAGAGTTGACCGTTAGATGCATAGTGTCAATTTAAATAATAGGTAATGTGCTTATGAATAAAACCCCTATTCCTAGGAACCTCATGCGTGTTTTCTTTGGAACCCTCCAACTAGGTATAGGCACATTCTACCGTCCTACTGCCTTTTGTACATTACATACACTACACTATCTCTCGATTTTGACTGCAGAGTGTAGTATAGGGATGATATTTTATTGTTGTCGGTGTTCAAGGTCCCTTTGGTAGTGTACTATGTATGATAAAAAACCCTTGCAACACAGCCACATCTTCCAGCATAGCCTTCGAATGAACGAGTTATAAGGCAAGATGTTTGCAATTAGATCCCCCCCACTATGTTCACAAAGATCATGCATGAGAGCTGCTATTTCCTGTTAGATGAACATGGCGGGCAGAGCGGCTTGTCAACATGATGAGGTGCTATTGGAATGCTCACCCTGGGCCGAGGAGGCTGGATTCGAACGCCCCGATGCTGCTAAAAGACTCGCCGCGACAACTAAAAGCGGCCGCAATCCTCTTGCGACGAAGGGAAAGTCAAAGAAGGCGATTGAGAAACTGAGTGAGCAGGCAGCCCAACGACTCTCGCCCTCGTTTCCTGGTCCTCTTCTGCTGCCTAAGGATAAGCTCAACTGGGATCCTGACTACCCACCCCAGTCATTTCGATCTTGGCTCAATGAAATTGAACGAAATAAGCTGACACCCGAACGCAAGACGCTCTATGTAGCTGGCCCGCCGACCATCACGCCAGGTGTCGGCTTCATGAATGGTTGGGAGAAACCAACAACAGTCTCTATAAATGAGCTTAAAGATTTTGAATCACCCTCGGCTGAGGCTTCTCTAGAGTATCTGAGGGCATTCTACTATGGCCTTCCCGTCAGATACCTCCCACAACGACTGTGCTTCGTGCCATGGACAAGACCCTCACAGCGCACCAAGACAGCAGACAATCATAACTATGTTAGTCTTGCGGACAATGACCGCTGCACGCGCATCCGCACTCGGGAGACTCCGGACAAAAAGTTCAAGAGACAGGTGAACTTGAACGATCTCTTGGACGTAGTCATTGAGATGCTACCCGACGATGCATACTCGCTGGGTTTGCTCATGGATCTAGACATGTACGAGGACGAGGACGATGATTTCTGCTGCGGACGTGCATACGGTGGGAGTCGTGTATGCGTTGTATCTTCGGCCCGGTACCATCCAGCCCTTGATGTAGACGAAGGCATCGACCACGAGCACGTGTGGCCAACTTCACATTGTAAGAAGTTCACCGATAGCTTGTGCGCCGTAGAGGAATTAGAGCCGCGAGAACACATGAAGTCTGTGTACGAGACTCAAGACTCACCACTGCGGCTGGCTATTGACATAGCGAAAAGGGTGTCTACGCTGCCAACTGTCAAAGGCCGCAGTGGCTTATGGTTTTCACGCGTTGCTCGCACCTTGGCCCACGAACTCGGACACTGCTTCGGAATGGACCATTGCATTTTCTACGCTTGCAACATGCAAGGTACATCGGGTATCGCAGAGGACGTGAGACAACCTCCATACTTATGCCCAGTGTGCTTGGAAAAGGTGGCGCACGCCATCGCTTGTGAACTACAGCTACACGATCAAGTAGGCAAGGAGGATTACACGAAGGAGAGATATAAGGCTATTGCCGAGTTCTGTGAAGCTTGGAAGCATGTCGACCTCTTTGCTGCTTACGGCGCTTGGATAGGGGGGCGACTCCAACGGCTCTCGGCTTAGTATGTATGGAGATTAGATCGGCCTCCGCATATTTCCCGTTATGGATCATGCATGCGCCAGGCAGCGCGCCTACATACAGCCCATGATACCTATTGTATTCATAGCTTTCCTTAGAGAAGTAGTATACTCGGTATACACTATGAGTGATGCAGTGTAAGCATTGTAGCGCGCTTGGCACAATTCGGAAATCTCCTTCAGCTGAGGTTTCTTATCTTCCCCAATTGCGCCTTTGTACCAAGTAAGCACCCGTGACAAATGACTTGCGGTTTCCGCTTGAGCTCTTTGTTTGGTCGCTGTAGATCTTCAGCACCTTTGAAAGCACTTTTATAAGTACATAGTATAGTGTATGGATGCGTGAGATTCCATAGCAGTAGCCCGAGGAGCCAGAGTCTTTAATTACGCACACTGTTCGTGGAATATGGTTGAGGCGAAATTAGAACCCATACTATGTAGCCAACCAACCCGAAAAGGCAGCGCCGAAAAGCCAAGCGCAATAAATGCAGGCCCGACCCGTAGATCCTTTCTCCTAGGTTGCTTTTTCGAGATCCTAGAGTACCGCAATCCCCGCACGGGGCGCATCCCGGCCTTCAGCCAGAAGGCTATCCTCCTTATTAGTCTACCTATATATTTCCCATTGATGCCGGTCTTCTATCATATGACCTTGAGAAACTACTGAGAAACTTGAGACCGAGCGACATGGAGAATGGACAACTTCACGGCTCCACCCTCGGAGAACCCGGAGAGAGTGTGATGGAGAACGGAGAGCTCAATGGCTCCACTGGACTAACGGCCCATGAGCAGCAATGCTTCGAATCGTTCGTCAAGGAATGTCGCGTTCAAGGACTCCTCGAACGCCCTACCGGGTTGTCAGCCGAGGATACTCTGGATGGCTTACACGACGAGGTCACCTTATTGTACCTGAGCCTTATATCACCTCTATATCACAGCTAGTGACTAATAGTATACTAGGAGGTTTCTCTGCGCTCGTTCATTTGATGTTCCCGCAGCTGTGCAGCAGTTTAAAGAAGCCCATACGATTCGGAGCTCCGTTGATACCGCCGAAGCATACAACAGCATCGATATCGACGACTTTGAGCGCTTGCGTGACATAGTGCGTAATCTTGTTTCCTCGAATGCCTTGCCATTTCAATGCCCGAAGACTGACATTCCGCGTGCTTAGTATCCCCATTGGTCAGGCCAACGAACTAAACGCGGTCTTCCAATATGCCTCCTTGATGCGGCCAATCGTGAGTCTTTTCTAGAACGGTTTCGCTCATCCTAACCCTTCTCGGAGAATAAAAGCTCCTATTCGGGCTAGAATCGTGCCTAGATTGCCTTCTCCACCTCTGAACCTCGGATCGCGCTTGAGGGGATGATTACTGACCGCGGATGTTAGTGGATGGCGCAAAGTTTGGGAGGTATCGAGATTATACTGCATCTCAAATTACCTGCCGCGCGATCACCTCTCTTGATTACCTGACACGTTTCGCGCTCCCGCTCTGCTCCATGATGGCGGACCGGCCTAACCCTGACAAGCCAGTTTCCAACGCTGTATATCTAGTTGATATAGCATACATAAGCCTCAAACAAGCCTGGAACATACGAGGGTACGCGCAGACGATCACCGGGCTATTAGCAACGTGTTACCCGGAGGTAGTTGACAGGATTTACGTTCTCAACGCCCCGCCGTATTTTTCTCGGATTTGGGCATTGCTGAAGGGCTGGGTTGATCCGAATACGGCAAATAAGCTGATCATAGTATCCCCAGCGGATGTTTTGACTACGCTGCTAGAGACGATTGATATCGAGTGTATACCGGAACGGTATGGTGGACAGTCGAGGGACGAACATGGGCTGGTGCCTCTCGTTGATGATTTGAAAGAGTTATTAGGCGTAGAGCAGCTGCCAGAAGGGCCAATCAAGTGGACAATGCACCAAGGGAACCGAACTGCAGTCGCAGTCGGGATGAGGGATGGGGAAGCGCGCAAGGAATTGGTTGGCCCAATTGGTATCAAGGCAACTCTCTAGTGCTCTAGAATGGCGTTGGGGAGTTTGAGAAAGGACTTTGATTTAACACGACCATATACTTGCTTCTTGATGGCCACAGCTAACAGCTCGGGTGCCTGATCACAGGATAGGCCTCCACTCCGAAACATTGCTATCTCCTTCTGTAAGGCAGCTTGTCAACTCGTGTACTAGACCCTTCAAGAGATTGCAGTCGTTGGTCGATGGTACTAGCCATGAAAACATGACGATAACGATCATCGGCCTCCCGGAGAATTCGATGCACTTGCCTAATCAGCGACGCACGGCTCCGAGCAAACTTAAGGGGCTGTATCACTATTTACCCACATAGGGGATCTCCTTCTAGGACAAGTACGGATAGAGTCTGATATCCATATTGTGCCGTTGCAGTCGTTCCTTGTGATTGATAATGCTACGTCTCTAGTAACTGGATAGAATAGAAGGAATAGAAGATGTCTATTATCAGCTAAGCGCGATCATACGACGAATGTGAGAAATATGTGATATAAATTGTTGGGGGTGTGTATTTCAATTAATTCCGACGGGTTATTCAACAACATCCATTTGATATTTCCACGCAAAACCCAACATGACCGTCTATCTACATTTGTACTCGATACATGCATAGACTTTCAAATATAACTCCCTGAAATTAAAAGGGAAAAAAAAGAAAAGAAAAAAGAATCTGTAATTGATTACACACTCTCGATCGGGGAATCGAACCCCGGCCACCTGCGGCTTGTTTCATGACAAGCAGGTATCCTGACCACTAGACCAATCGAGATATGCAAATATCCCCTAGATTATATCTATCAAGCTCATCCCAGCAATCGCCCTAACCACTGTAACCCATTCAGTTTTGTTATGTTTCGATTTCATATAATGTTACGTTCCATTCCCGATTTTTTTGCAGCATAGAATGGATTGAAGACAAGTTGACGCTAATTTGAATTCCAGCATGGCCATTAACCCCCTTGTGTCGAGTAAATAGATCTTGGGAAAGGAGAGTGTAGCGAAAACGTGTAGACTTAGTGCTTGTACACAGTGCCGTAGTGGATTATCTAGTACATACAGTAGTAGTGATAGAATACCAAAAAAAAATCGCTGCCAAGATGTTCTACGTTACGAACTGACGCAATATCTATGGAGCTCGGTCAGAACAGCCATGTGCTGCATTTATCTCCGCTCGGAGCTCCACGACATGTTCGGCCCTCATTCGCCGGGCATGATTAGGCCTGATCGAGAGCTACGCCCGAGCTGTTCAGCCATGAGGATGGACCAGCTCGGTTCTCCAGCTTGAAGCCTCACGAATTCGCCGCCGACATTGTGTCGGCATATTCCAATTAGTGGGTCTTGTATTCTGATGAACTCTGGCTTGAAGCCTCAGTTCTATCGCCTGATCAACCTGTTTTTCGTTTGACTAGGTTGTCGATGGCATTTGGGATGGCATGATGGACTAATGGGTAGTGTATAGCTCATGTATCGCAATATAAAAGTCACATATTGCCCTCTCTTTTGGGGGTAGGAAGTCCTCACAACTCAAACAGACCTCCACACTTATCCTCCATTCCCCGCACTTGACAGTTGAACCAGCTATCTTCCGTCAGCATAGGACAATATGGCCTCCAACGACACTCGCCTTCGTGTAGCCATTGTAGGTTCCGGTATCGCGGGGTTAGCCGCAGCTCGTATTCTAAGGGAGAAGCATGACGTGACAGTATACGAACGCGGAGAACCCTCTGTCGCGACAGGGGGTCAAGGTATTGCGAACTTCCCGAACTCGACGCATATTCTTGAAAGCATGGGCTTCGACTACAAGCGTGTTGGTTCAGTCGAACTTGGCGGTTGGAACTCGGTCGACAAGCACGGAAAGTATCTCCATAGCATCGACTATAACATGAGAGAACGATATGGCGCCCCATTGGTGAGCCATATGCGCGTGGATTTTCGTACAGAACTTTGTAAGTCCTTAAAGTTGGGTTTTCTTATTTTATCTACTCTCGGATGTAACTCACTCGAAGCGTCTAGTGAGGCTGGCTACGGCCCCTGCTGGAGACTTGGGTCTTGATGCGAGCGCGACACCTGCAATAACGATGTGGAACAATGGTGCCGTTGACCTGGACCCCGAAGCTGGGCTGGTCACCTTAGAGGATGGATCTGTGGTGGAAGCGGATGTTGTTATAGGTAGGCTAGAACCCAGATTGCCCCTATTCGTTTCTAACCGCCCTCCCCTAAGGAGTCCTCGATAGGGCTGAGACTAACATGAGCTACTAGTCGCTGATGGTATCCATTCTCGACTGCGGAATAAGATACTCAGCGAGCCTATCAGTGCTCAAAGACAGGATTGATCTGTTGCCGCGTCGCTGTATCGGCGGAACGAGTCGAGCAAGCTATTGGCAAGCTGCCCCAATGGTGGCAGGATCAACGCGAAAAAGGACAGGGCCATATGCGCATCGTCGAGGCACTGGACGGCACATCGTGATTGATGGTAGTATACACGCTTCGCAACATCAATTGGATGAACATGGCCTGGGTGTTCCAGACCCAAAAGGAGCGGAAGAACACAACGGAATCGTGGCACGCGGATGGCGATAGAGACGAAATCCTGGAGATCTACGATGATTTCGAAGATAGCCTGAAGACGATGTCACGGTGAGTAGTTGAGGCTGGGTTTGAATTCAATTTCGCTTACTAGTAGAACATAGTGTTGCCGACCAAGTGAAGCTATGGGAGCTCCAGGATCTTGAACCCTTACCGACGTGGACGTCTGGTCGTGCGATTCTAATTGGGGATGCCGCTCATGCGATGACACCTATGCAGGGGCAAGGTGAGACTCGCAATGATGTAGCACTTGACGCACTGCTGATCTATAAATGAACGGGATCTAACATGGCTATCGAAGATGCCGACGGCCTTCGCCTTCTTACACAACCCGGGGTTGCACGGGATGGTGTGCCAGAAGTACTCAAGGCAGTCGAGAGTGTTAGGAGGCCTCGCGCTACGAGGGTGCTTATGAATACGCGATCCACGTCCAAGATCTCCAGCGCGGCTGATAGATATGCGAAATTCGATGAAAACTGCACATACACCGGCATATTGGGCGCGCTCAAGCAACAAGCCGCAGCAGCCTGAGAAGTTTGGAGAGCATGTCATGAAGATATACTGTTTTTGGGTTTCTGGTTGATGCGGCGTTATTGCACTTCTCTTCATGGTTGATTCCATACATGGGATCTTCCACCCTGTCATCATCCCGAAAGCCTAACAATATCTAATAGGATAGCAGATACGACACTATGAAGCATATATAGAGTCGGTTTCCTAGTATTGTGCAGTATTTCCAGATATCATCTCTGTTTGGGATTAATGTGTTCCATTACCATGTGGTCATTATTACTATGTGGTTACGATTCCAGAACATGTTTCGGTTGCATTTTAAAAAAAATAACCACAATGCAATTAAATCAATTTAAATTAATCGGAATCCTTTTTATTAAACGTTTTTATATTTATTGTATATGTGCGCGCATTATAACTAATATTGCTATATATGCTACAGCGCTGCGCGCGTTTAAATGCTTTTATTTAACAACTATTACTTTTACTATTTTTTTAACTTGCTAAACTATTACTTTTACTATTTTTTTAACTTGCTAAACTATTACTTTTTTTTTTAAAACCTGAAAATCTGTTTTTTTATTAAAAGTAAATACTTTTTTAGCTTACAAATGTTTATTTTTTGTTTTTTAACGTAATTAATAAGTAAGCATTATAAACAAGCAAGCGTTACATTAAACTTAACTAGCATAATTTTTATTTTAAACTTACGTTTTTTTTATAATAACATAATGTTATATAAAAACAATAAAAGTTAAATAATTGTAATTAGTTAAGCTATAAATTTAAACTTAACTTTAAGTGCTAAAGTTGTTATTATTATTTATAAAATTAATTAACCTATAACACAAGCTAGTTTTGCACACAAGCAAGTTTCGCACTTTTTTTGGAGTACCCTGTAAGCTAATTTTCTATGCAAAAATACTTACACCACTTTTTAATAACTCCGCGAAAATAGGTCGTACAACAAAATAATTAGTACTATTAGATTTGTAATGAAATAATAAATCTAATAATATTTTCTTTTATTTTTTAGCTATTTTATTTGGGCGTATAGCTTCAAAAAAACAAATTTGCAGGAATTATTTTAGCGTAGTTTTTAATAACGCCTTAAATAAAATAGTTAGAAAATAAAAAAAAATACTATTAGATTTGTTATTTCATTACAAATTTAATAGTACTAATTATTTTATTGTACAACCTATTTTCGCAGGGTTATTAAAAAGTAGTGTAAGTACTGTTATAATTTAGGTGCACTACCAACCAAACTACCAATTAGAATATGTTCTCTTTAATTCTATCTGCCTATATTACTATAATCTATCCAAATATATTTTGCACACTATTCTTTGCTTTTACAAGCTTTAGTTTTATATAAAACCTATTATATAAAATATATATTATATTATACTTAACTTTAAAAAACTTTTTAAACGTAACAATTTTAAAGCTTTTATTTAAAAGTTACTTATAATATACGATTACTATAGCTTTAAAATAATTAGCTTGTTTTATTTTTTTATAAAACTTTTATATATAAGTTATTTAAAAAATAGCAATAAAATATTTTTAAATAACAACAAAAGCTAAAAGCTTTTAAATCTTTTTAATATTAACATAATAAAACTAAAAAAAGCTTTTACTTAACTATTTTAATAGCAGAATACTTAATTAACTACTAAGCTTAACAAACTAAAAAAACAATTAAAACAAAAAAAGCAGTTTATATTAGATTTATATAAACTGCGTTCTAAAAAAGCATATAAAACAATTACGAAAAAAAAAAAAAAAAAAGGTTTTAAAAACTAAAAAATTAAAAAATCTAAAAAACTTTAACAATTTAAACATTTTTTATTAAACTTTTTATTATACTACCTTTTTTAATTAACAGCTTAACTTTAGCTATTACATTAAAAATAACCTTTTTAATTTAAAGCTATTTATATTATTATTTTTATTATTGTTTTTATTTTTTAATTAAAAAAAGCATTTTTAAAATTAAACTAAACGCAAATCTTATTTGCAACGTTATTAAAACAAATATAATAATAAATTTAACAGCAATATAAACCTAAGCAAGCTACTTAAATTTAAATACTTTTTATTTTAAATATATTTTGTATATATATAGCAAAATAAATTAAGTTTGCAAAAACTAATACTATAGCTTTATTTAAAGCTTAAACAGCAAAAACTAGCATTAATATAAACATAATTAAAATGTATTTTTTATATAAACTAAAACTTTTATTTGCTAGTTAGCTTTTTTAAAAGCTAATATTAATAGCAAATTAAAAACAGTTAAGCAACTATTTAATTAAAACTTTAAAACTTTTAATTATTATTTTATTTAAATTAAAAACTAAAAAAGCAGGCAAACTAATTTTAAAAAAGCTATATTATATTATTAAAAGCTTTTTATTACGTTTTAAAATAAAATATTTAGTTATTTTAACTTATTATTTATTAAAAAATTAATATAATAAATGCGGCTATATAACGTTAAAAAATAATAAAACTAATTAAAAAAAATTAAAACTAAAAAAATTTTAAGCAGTTTAAATCCTAAACTAACTTTAAACTAAACAAAAGCTTTTAATAATATTAATATCTAAATAAAAAAGATTATTATTATTAAAGCTAAAAATATGCTAATATAACTAAAAAGCA